CTTTATTTCTGAGAGTGTAGGGTTAATTTTACCCTAAAGCCTGGTTTACACTTGACATGTCTGCTAGTTCACTTGAGTGCATGTGGTGAATGTGAAGTCATCGCTGTGTTTGCGGAGTTTCGCTTTGGGTGCGCGCGACATGATTTCAGCTGGCGGAGTGCATCTTCTTTTGAGACTCGAGCGAACAGTTCGACCGGCTACGTGTTAGATTTGAGTTGAATATGAAACACTTTGAAGAAATTTTTTTCTGAAACAGAATGCCTGTACATCTTTATGATCCGTTCATGCGCAATCATATGGATAACCAGATGACCAATGATTCTTGGCTAGAAATTGCAACAGCAGTCGGAAAAGGAGGAAAGTTTTTGTTAAAAACTTTGGAAAAAGTGTACACAGGTGCACAGACCCAGGTACACAATTACACATTATGTTTTTCCACCATTTATAGGTTTTACACTGGTGTAAATATAACAATGTTGAATTTATAGTTACAAAACTATAATTAAGGAACAATTGAAGAGTTGAAGAGAGAGAAAATTCTAAATCCATCAGACCTTTTTTCTATCAGGCTCCTCTGATAAGGTTCAGAATTTTCATTTTTTAGATAATGAAAAGGTTATCAGCTTGTAAATATTTTTTTCAAAAATGTCCCTTTTGACAATTCTTTGGTTTTTAATAATTTAAATTTTCGTTTGCGTCAAAAACAGATAAATCCACTTGTGTGTGTGTGTGTTTTTTTTTTTGCAAAAACCTCTAAATCCAGCTATTGGACAACACAGTGTAATTAGCTGAAAATCACTAAAGATGCAATTATAAATGATTTTTACTAAATATGTAACACATACACTAACCACGTAAAATTAAAAATACATAAATCTGTCAAGTATTCCGTTTATTCCACTGTGGTAACTTCTGATATACCAGAGACTAAATATTAAATCAATTTAGACATATATAAATATAAATACATACTATATATAGACATTATTAAATCTTGACATTATTAAATCTTAATCTGTTGTCATTTCTGAAATTTGGGATTTAGATTTAATGGAAGTAGAGCAAAGTAAACTAAGCTTGTTAGATTCCTATAAATTCTTATAAAAAATGAAGAATAAGGGGCCAATCACACTGAACGCGCTTTTTGCATTGAGGGGTGCCTTTTTTTGAAAGGTTTACTAACGGGCATGAGTGTTTTGTGCGCTGCTCTTGCACCCTGTGTGCCTTGCGTTTTAACCACCTGCTGTGCCCCGCATTTTGTCATTGAAAAAACTCAACTCTGTGTGGAAAAGCGTGTTACGTCACTCGCGTCTTTTTTATTTTCCAATTAAAGGAAAGCAGAGGTGGGGTTTCCGTTGAGGTGCCTGCAGTGTTTGTGTTCTCAAGACAACAACGGAGACTTTTGAAGATGGAGGAGAGACTTTTGATTGCTGCTTTGAGTTACCCGGTGATGTATGACTTCACAAATCTTGAATATAAAAGTATTATTAATCATTAAAATTATATTAACATCAACAGCATTACTCTCGCACAATACCCAGCTGATTCAGTTGTTGTATAGCGACATAAGTGCACCGAGATTCTTTTTTTTTTTTTGTCATACAAAAAAGGCAGTGAGATGTGTCTTGCGATATTGGAACGTAAATGCGCGTTCAGTGTGATCGGCCCCTAAATTTGTATCCTTAAACAAACCAGCTGTGCTGGTATTTAATTTGCATTAAAAAGATGATTAAAAAATAAAATACCATCAACATTTTTTTGAGGATGTTTTTTTTATTTTTTTATAACTGTTCAGATTTCTGGATGGTCGATCTGTGTTTTCTTTTGAAGTCATTTTTGCAGATTTTTTTTTTGGTTTGTTTTGTGTGTTTTGTTTTTTGGCAAAGTGTTTCATCTCGATTCCATCATTCTGTTTTGGTCTTTTTCTTTTCTGCAAAGGTCAACAACACATGGACTGTGGTCAGATTGTTCAGCTTCTGTCTCCAGACAGCTGGACACAGATTTTGAAATGCTACACAAGCAGGAGGTCGCGGATGCTCTATCTGTAACAGTTACACACGTGTTTACAAACACAAACTCTTCAATTCCTGTCCATCAGTGTGACCAGAGGTCAGTTCTAAACCCGTTCCAAACAAACACATGAATAAATCTAAATAAGTATGAGGGAATTTGCATAAAAGGTGATCTTTTCCTTTATGCTCGAGCTGACGGAGGTCAAACTTGATTGCGGTTTCATCATTCATGCAGAACATTTTCTCTTTCTTTCACTCTAATTGAAAACTGTAATGAGGGGGTATAAGTTATCAATGTTTAAGCTTTAAATGAGAACATGAAGATTCACCAGCTCAATTTTTGTCAAAATCATAAAAGATTAAATGGGTGACTCTGATCGAGGAAAATGTATTATAAATATGTTTTATTTTGAAATGTCTTTCAAATATATGAATGAGATCTGATTATGGCAAAATCTGGTTTTGGAAAAATAATCTGTGATGGATTGCAAATTTAAATAGTCTCTGATGGCAATAAGAATTTTGGAGTTTTGAAAAATGTATCATAATTATTTTAGCCTACTATTTTACATAATAGTTATTACATTGTAGTAGCTAAAATATGTCTTCTTCTTCTTCCTGTTCTTTATCTTTCTTCTTCTTCTTCTTCTTCTTCTTCTTCTTTATATATTTATGTATTTATTTATTGATGAAATGAAAGTAATGTTATTAAATAAAATGTTTATTTTTAATAAAAAATTAATTAAAACAAAAAGGTAAATAGATAAATGAATGAATGAATGAATGAATAAATAAATAAATAGATAGATAAATAAATAAATAAATAAATAAATAAATAAATAAAATAAAATAAAATAAAATAAAATAAAATAAAATAAAATAAAATAAAATAAAATAATTCATTATTTAAAAACGCAGCCTTGGGCTGGATGGGATCTGCTTTGGCGACCACAAAATTTCATTTCTGTTATTCGCAGACAATGTTGTTCTGTTGGCTTCATCGAACATGGACCTTCAGCATGTACTGGGGCGGGTTGCTGCCCTGTGTGACGTGGCTGGGATGAGAATCAGCACCTTCAAGTCCAAGGCCATGGTGTTCCACCGGAAAAAGGTGGTTTGCCTTCTCCAGGTTGGAGGAAAGTCCTTACCCCAGGTGGAGGAGTTCAAGTATTTTGTTCACGAGTGAGGAAAGGATGTAACGTGAGATTGACAGGCGGATTGGTGCAGTGGAAGCAGTAATGCGGTCGATGTACCGGTTCATTGTGGTAAAGAAGGAGCTGAGTCGAAAGGCAAAGCTCTTGATTTACTGGTCAATCTGCGTTCCTTCTCTCACCTATGGTCACAAGCTTTGGGTCATGACCGAAAGGACAAGATCTCATATATAACCGGCCGAAATTAGTTTCCTTCGCAGGGTGGCAGGGCGCACCCTTATAGATAAGGGGAGGAGCTCTGTCACCCGGGAGGAGCTCGGAGTTGAACCAATGCTCCTCCACATTGAGAGAAGTCAGCTGAGGTGGCTCGGGCATCTGTTTCGGATGCCTCTTGGACGCCTACCTAGGGAGGTGTTCTAGGCATGTCCCACCAGGAGGATGCCTCAGGGAAGTACCAGGACATGCTGGTGGGACTATATCGGTCAGCTGCCCTGGGAATGCCTCAGGAATTATATAAAATAAAGTAAAATAAACATAAATAAAAATAAAAATAAAATAAATAAGTAATAATAAAAAATCTAATTAAATGAAAAATAATTAAATAAAATGAAAATCTATATTATTGTTGATGTTATAATTATTATTATAATAATAATAATAATAATTATTATTATTACTAATATTTTCAGTTCCAGTTATTTTTGATCATTAATTAAAAAGAAATATTTGACAATGAAAGCAAGAAGAAAGCAATATACAATATTATATATTAAAAATTGATAAAATATACTGTATTTTCCACACCATAAGGCGTACCAAATTAAAAGACGCAGTCTTATTTACGGGGTCTATTTCTGTACATAACCCATACATAAGGTACATTATAATATAAGGCGCATACTAAACATACGGTCTACAAAACCAGCCACAGCCACAGTCATATCACCCTGCAGCCCAAGAACGGTTACTTACTGAAAATAAACAGGGCTGAGCCTGGTCAGTACCTGGATGAAAGACCAAATGGAAAAAACTAGGTTGCTGTTGGAAGTGGTGTTAGTGAGGCCAGCAGGGGTGCTCAACCTGTGGTCTGTGTGAGTCCTAATGCCCCAGTATAATGAAGGGGACACTATGCTGTCAGTGGGTGCAGCCTTTTGGATGAGACGTTAAACTGAGGTCATGTGGTCATTAAAAATCACATGACACTTCTTGTAAAGAGAAGGGGTGTAATTCCCACCATCGGCCCTAACAATCATGGCCTCCCAATTATTCCCATCCACTGAATTGGCTCTATCACTGTCTCTCCACTCCATTAATAGCTGGTGTGAGGTGAGCGCACTGATGTCATTGTCCTGTGGCTGCCGTCGCATCATCCAAGTGGATGCTGCACACTGGTTGTGGTGTGTAGAGACCTCCCTCATGATTGTGAAGCGCTTTGGGTGTGTGGACATACAGAATAAATGCGCTATACAAATACACATTACTTACTTACAAAAAAGGTGACGGAAGTAAAACAGTGAGTTTACTCTATTTAACAATACATTTTCATTATTTTTTTTATTATTTATTATTTATTTATTTATTTATTTCAAGTCTTCATCTTCTGTGTCTGATTTAAACAGTTGGCCAATTTTGCCATCTAACATGGCAGGTTCCTGCTTATCATTGTCATTAGTCTCGTTGTGATGTGGCTGTTCAGCAATGATGCTGGCTTTCGCAAAAGTCTCACAACAGATAAAGCAGATACCTTAGGCCAGGCCTCCACAATCCATTCACATATGGTGGCGTTATTCTCCCGACGCTGACAACCAGTCTTAGGCTCCATTTACATGAATACGCTTTAGTTTTGAAACGGTGTTTTAAAATGAAAACGTTCTGCGTACTGGTTTCACCCAGCGTTTCTGAACAACTCTTCATCCACACTATACCACTGAAAACAGACAATACGTGACCAAATGCACACACTCTGGCATGTGCTGTAACGTATGTGGATGTCTGAGCTCCAGGCAGTCATCTACCCAGATGAGAGCTGTGCACGTCGGACTGTTCATCTAGGATCTACCACTGAATTTAATCTCACTATATTTGCAATATTTATTGAACGTGATATTTAATTCATCTTGTTCTCTATCCAACGACATATTCCCCGACTTTTAGAATCTATTACTTGATCTCAGGTAACATGTTCTTGCTGAGCGCAAAGATATTAATTTATGTAACCGAGTACACTGACTCTACACATTTGACTGATTGCTTGCCTTTATTTTCTATAAGCTTATCATACGTTATACTTTTATAATGGCCATTATTGATTATTAAAACTGATATTCAATGAAAGAGAGGGTATGTTTCATATTTTCAATGAAAATGAAAGGAGGCAGTAATGTTTTAGGCTCAGTTTTGTTATAAATATGCACACAGTGAAGATGACGCTCACATAAATATGCAGCTACACGACGCCTCAACGTTTTTAGTTACTGTAAAGTTGCTAATATCAAACTGAAAATAGGCAGTTCCCTATATTATGCTTTCATTTTATTGTTAAGTAAGTGAAACAACATAGCCAGGGTGATGTGACTGAGGTTATAAAGTATACTGTTCCCTTTGAAGATTTACCCGACGTGTCCTCAGGAGTTGGTTTTATATATAAAACTTCCGAAGTCTGAATTTACAAGCAGAAGGATCCCCGCCTCCATTTTCAGATGTCTCCATTTTCCCCAATCCACACTAACACGGAGCAGCAGTGTTTTAAACACCAAAACAGCCTTTCCAGCATTCTCAAAAAGCTCAGTTTTCGGCACTCGAAAGCTCCATCATAGTGTGGACCAATAGCATATTTGTAGCAAAACTTATGCGTTTGCAAACTAAAACATAGAAATGGTATGTTGGCCATCTGTCATCCATTGCTCACACGCCACTTGCAACTTCTCTTTGAACGCTCTGTTCACACCAATGTCCAGCGGTTGGAGTTCTATTGTAAATCGCTGCCAGCATACGTAGTGTACAAATTCCCTGTGTTGGCGGGAAATTCTCCAAGAGTCAATAAAAGTCGCAAAACAACATTTTTACAGATTTTGGAACTTTTGCATGTATTGTCAGGCGCACAGTCAATTTTTGACAAAAATTTATGCTCTTTGGTACGCCTTATAATGCAGAAAATATGGTACTATAATATATAATATAATATAATATAATATAATATAATATAATATAATATAATATAATATAATATAATATAATATAATATAATATATGCTGGGTGGAGTTTGCATGTTCTCCCCGTGTTGGCATGGGTTTCCTCCGGGTGTTCCGGTTTCCCCCACAAGTCCAAAGACATCTGGTACAGGTGAATTGGGTCTGCTAAAATTGTCCATATTGTATTTGTGTAAATGAGAGTGTATAGATGTTTCCCAGTGATAGGTTGCGGCTAAAAGGGCATCCGCTGCGTAAAAAATATGCTGGATAAGTTAGCGGTTCATTTCGCTGTGGTGACCCCAGATTAAGGGATATAAGCCGAAGGGATGTAAGGGATTAAGCCGAAAATGAATAATATAATATAATATAATATAATACAATATAATATAATATAATATAATATAATATAATATAATATAATATAATATAATATAATATAATATAATATAATATAATATAATATAATAATATAATATAATATAATATAATATAATATAATATAATATAATATAATATAATATAATATAAACATAATATAAATTTATATAATAGATTTTTTTTTAATTAACCTTTCTAATTTTTTTTTATATTATTACCTCTTAATGAGACATCAAATCTATCAAAAGAATAAGTGACTTAGTGGTCCAAATAGATCTCAACTATTCCTTGTGCTGCAAGCAAAAGTTCTTCAGTTTCAATTCAGCTGCGGACTGACCCAAAGCCAAGAGATAAACGCTGCAAGATCGGGTCATGGCACCAATTTAACAGTACTAAGCAAAGTCAACATGTACACACAGGCGCGCACACACACACACAGAGGACCGTGTATTCAGAAGATGCAAGTGAATCTTGAGTAAAGGTGGTGTGTCACTTACCTCCGGTGTCTGGGTCGTGGTAGTTTGGGTCGAGCCCTTTCTCCAGAAACTTTGATACCTTCTCAACGTTCCTCTGCTGAACATATTCCATAAACTTCTTCAAGTTAGCCTGAGGGAATGAGAAAGAAGAGAGAGACGGAGAGAGAGATGTGAGGCAAACTGAATAATGCAAAAGAAGGATAAAAGCAAAAACAGACGAGTTTTCCCAAGCGGAAGAAACCGAGATGGAATAAAGCTCCACACTACTCCACAGAAAGGACTTAATTTTAGCTTTTCGGGGATACGTAGACGAAAGCCTTAATAAATGCATTAGAAGAGTGCTTGATGCACAATTCCTGATCTATAATGCATTGTTTAATATCGTATAGCAATAGTTCAAAATACACTCAATGACATTTCTAAGTTCAATGTCTTAAGCCATATCCAGGCCTGATTACTAATAGAACAAATAATGAGTAGAACCTGCCTGACAAAGTAGACTAAAAGATCCTCAAAAGCTTGGCATCATGCTGAGATCCAAATAAATTCAAAAACAATGAAAAAGAAAATAATCGAAATCTACTAGTCTGGAAAAGGTTATAAAGCAATTTCTAAAGCTTTGGGACTGCAGTGAACAACAGTGAGAGCCATTATCTACAAATGACAAAAACATGGATCAGTGGTGAACCATCCCAGATATGGTTGGACGACTAAAATTACCCATAAGCTCAGTAACAACTCATACAAGAGGTCACAAAAGAACCCACAACATCATCCAAAGAACTGCAGGCCTCACTTGCCTTAATTAAGGTGAGTGTTCATGACACCACCATAAGAAAAAAAAGAATATATATATATATATATATATATATATATATATATACATACATACAAACATACATACATACATACATATATACATACATACATACATACATACATACACATACATACATACATACATACATACATACATACATACATACATATATATACATACATACATATATATATATATATATATATATATATATATATATATATACTTGAAGTCAGAATTATTCGCCACTTTAACAGAGAGAAGATTTTTTTAACACATTTCTAAACATAATCTTTTTAATAACTACTACATATTTTTCAAGACACTTCTATAAAGCTTAACTAGGTTAATTAGATTAACTAGCAGGTTAGGGAAATTAGGCAAGTTATTGTATAACGATGGTTTGTTCTGTATCGAAAAAATATATAGCTTAAAGGAGCTAATAATTTTCACTTTAAAATGGTGTTTAAAAAATTAAAAACTGCCTTAATTCTAACTGAAATAAAATAAAGTAAGACCTTCTCCAGAAAAAAAATATATTATCAGACATACTGTGAAAATTTTCTTGCTCTGTTAAACGTCATTTGGGAAATATTTCAAAAAGAAAAAGAAATTCAAAGGGGGGCTAATATATCTGACTTCAACTGTATGACGAATATGGTTATGAACATAAATAAAATGATAGCCATTATATTTGAACATACATGTACATATCAGTTGTTGAAAAAATCTATATGTAAAGCAGGTTTGCAATATTTATTTATAAGCATAAGACAAATGTTATATATGTGAAATCCAAATATGGTTAACTGTCCCATGATGCACCGTGAGAGAATTCATGAATGGGAGTGACGCGACGCAACTGATGTAGTATGTTTCGTGATGATGCGAAATGGCAGATGTAGTACATCCAAGTTACATTTAAACTGTACTTTCATGCTGTATAGAACGTATTTTTCTAACAGCCGAGTAGTACATTTAAATTCAAATGCAGTAATTACTGTAAAACCCAACAGTCAACTTTTTCAAATGAAATGAGTGTGGTTAACTCAAAAAAATTATTGAAAGTTAATTCCACTCAGTGTTTGAACTCAGTGTTGAAGGAAATGAGTTAATTAAATACCTAATTACTTCTGCTTAAATAGAGTAAGTTCACTGTAATCATTTAGTTTAACTGAAATGGTTTGAAGCATTCGGTTTCCTCAAACATTTTGAGTTGCCTTAACTTATTGGGTTTTACAGTACTCAGGTGGTTTGAGTTCTCTTCATTTATTGGGTTTTACTGTGCTCAAATTGCTTCGTTTACTCAAATGGATTAAGTTTGCAGTACTTATTAATATTAGTTTTTGAACTACAATGGTTTGTTGCAGTCGGTTTCCTCAAATGGTTTGAGTTACCTTCACTTTTTGGGTTTTACATGTGAAAATAAACCTCACTCATTTAAAATAAACAGTAAAACATGACACATTTTCAAAATACATAGGTTGGGGTTAGGGTAGGTTAGGGCAATATTACAGCTTCATATCACACTACTCCACAATAAAATTGACACTGGTAGCAAAATCAGATGGGTAGGATTTATCATCAAAATGTGCTGCCTACTTTTTGAATGGGAGATCGGACAATCTGACAAGGTAGGACAACTCGACAGACCACGGCCATAAGTTTGGGGTCAGTAGGATTTTTAAATGTTTTAAAATACGCGTCTCCTGCTCACCAAGGCTGCATTTATTTAATCAAAAATACAGTAAAAATTGAAAGATTATTAAATGTTATTGCACTATAAAATAACTGTTCAAAGTTTATCATTTAATGTAATAATTTATTCAAGTGATTTTAAAGATGAATTTTCAGCTTTATTACTCCAGTCACATGATCCTTCAGAAATCCCTAAAATATTTATTATGATTATAATTATTATTTTTATTATTAACAATTATTATTATTATTATTATTATTATTATTATTATTATTATTATTATTATTATTATCATTATTATTAGTATTATTATTATTATTATTATTATCATAATTTATTATTATTATTATTATTATTATTATTATTATTATTTTATTATTATTATTATTATTATTATTATTATTATTATTATCAATTATTATTATTATTATTAATGGTAATAGAAATAAAAGCAATAAAGACTGGAGTAATAATTTTAATTAAAACTACATACAATAAGAAAGCAGTTGCCTTACTATTTTAATAAATATTTAACAATTTCACTTTTTGATTATTATTATTTTACTTTTTTTTTACATGTAATAAATGATAAATTTTCTTTATGAACAGAATAATTTTCTTTTAAAAAATTTTGATTCAGCTGACCCCAAACTTTTCACCGGTAGTGCATTAAAACCAGGCATGTGCACACATAGGGCTCAACCTGTGCAGTGCACATGCCCTTTTTAGTCTTGGATAGAAAGTGCCCTTCCAAAATGATCAAAAGTGCCCCCGCGACGCGGCACACCTACGGTCCCGCCCTTCAGTAGGCGCGCGACAACACCGCTCTTGAGTACGCACGCGACAACACAGCTGATCAGTACGCGCGTGACAACACAGCTGATCAGTACGCACGCGATAACACCGCTCTTCAGTACGCGCGCATCCACTCTGCCCTCCACCGTTCTTCGAAAAATTTATCCTGCACATGCCCTTCGAACGGTCTCTGCACAGGCCTGATTAAAACATACATACATGTTATATCTGTAGTAAAATTGTGTACTCCTAATTGTTTTGTGGTTAAAAATCACATAAATCCAAACAATATTTTTTAAGTGCATCATGCATTTGCTGAAATATGTGTTTTTAATAAACAGTTCACAAATAAACACACTCATATATAAGTCAAAATACTTTTTAATGTAAAAAAATGCTAATATTAGATTCAGTTGAAAGTTATTTTTCTCAACCTAAAAACAAAGGAGTCTGCCAAGAGTCCAACACACACACACAAACACAAAGGAGTATAACATTAGTGTAGCTCTACTGTATCTTACCAAGTCTAGTCTTGCAGCCTGTTACATAAACCCCTCTGAAGATCGAGGCTGGCTAAACACACACACACACTCTCTTACGTGCACACACACACACACACACACACACACACACACACACACACACACACACACACACACACACACACACACACACACACACACACACACACACACACACACACACACCATCTCTAACACCTGTCCTCTGCCAACAGCAAGTAAAAGGCGTGGGTTTCTCACCATGTGTGGCGTTAGCTGATCTCCTGCGTCTTCATCTACTCTGATGTGCTTCAAGTCATCACACCGCCCTGATTCCACCCCGACACACACTACCATCTGAGCATCTCCGTTTCTCTCACACACACTCACTCACACATGCTCTCCGCAGCTCCGCCTTTCCATGCGGTGAATATTAGAAACTCACTCTCTCTGCCCGCTCTCGCTCTCGGCCACTCACACTGTTGTTATGGAGATGGGATACAAAAGAATTGTTGGCAAAGAGAGAGAGAGAGACAGTGTGTGTGTTAGTGTTGCGAGCCGAGCACAAAAACCTCTAGTGGTTATTTGATGAGAGTAAACTCATTGGATGGTGGCAAACCAAACAGCTTTTCTACTATGAAAAGAACAAATCATAGTGTAATATTACAGCTCTGTCCTCGTACCGACTAATATTTCCGCACATTTTCAGCTGGAGTACAACTATTGCCTCCAATTCCCACTGAAGTCCCATCGTAACTGTGACTGAACAATATTGTGGATAATGAAAGTTACAAGTCTGCTGGCGATTGATGGGTTTGTTTATACTAACTACTTTCTTCTGGCGTTTTTATTAGCAATTGTGGTTAATAAGAACTGTGATCGTTGATGTACCGCAAAGCTCGCTCGTTTTGACTTCTACATCATTTGTTTCACCTTCGCAGGGATAAGTTCTAATGTTGTAACAAACGATTTGATTACTTTCTCTGCGATGATTAATTTGATTTTTAAATTTGACCACGTTATATAAACACTTGTTTTAGGTCATAGAACACATTTTTGCAGTTTTTCCAAATCAGTTTGTAAAAAAAAAGGCTCTGTTTGCACGATTTGACTAACATCATCGTATCCAAATACTTGTATATAAATAATATTAGAAAATAGTAAAATTAGAATATACTCCACTGTTATTTGTTTTTAGAAAATATCTAAAATATCTAGTCAGCAGCTAGCGCTCTGCAAATCTCACCTGGTCGCCCACTGAAGCTAGGCAAGGCTGCTTTTGGGCAGTACCTGGATGAGAGACCACAAGGGAAAGCTAGGTTGCTGCTGGAAGTGGTGTTAGTGAGACCAACAAGGGGCCCTCAACCTGCGGTCTGTGTGGGTCCTAATGCCCCAGTATAGTGATGGGGACTCTATACTGCTTAGTGAGTGCAGTCTTTCAGATGAGATGTTAAACTGAGGTACTGACTCTCTGTGGTCGTTAGAAATCCCAGGATGTCCTTCGAAAAAGAGTAAGGGCCCACTGGCCGCTGTCTATCATGTCCCCCTAACCATCCCCATAATTGGCTTCATCACACTGTCTCCTCTTCACCAATCAGCTGGTGTGTGGTGTGTGGTATGCGGACTGGTGCAAAATGGCAACCATTGCATCATCCAGGTGGAAGCTGCACTCTGGTGCTGGATTAGGAGATAACCCAAATTGTGTAAAGCGCTTTGAGTGTCTAGAAAAGCTCTATATATATGTAAGAAATTATTATTATTATTATATTATTGTGACAGACTAAATGCATAACATGTATGCGTATGCACTGCAAAAAAAAGCTTTTCTTCCAGTTTTTTGTGTCGTTTCTAGTTTAAATATCTAAATAAATATTCAATCGAGAAGCATTTCATAGATGAGCAAAACATTGTCAAAAGTAATGTGAAAATCAATAGTTTTTTTTTTCTTAAAACTAGCAAAATAGTCTAGTTTATGTTTAGTTTAACAACTTTATTAATCCACCAGGGGCAATTAAATGAGGACAGTAACATCATGATACAACAAACACATAGAGAGACAAATCACTTACAAAAACGTTTATAAACATAATCCAGCATGCTTTATAATAACTTCATTTTTTTTTATAAATAACAGCAATAAGAAAAGACCCATACAATAATAATGTAAGTATATAAATCGTAAAGTTATAAATACTTATTGCCTCAAAAAAAAAAAAAAAAAAAAAAAAAGAAAACAGTGTAATAGTGCTTTCTAAATTTACTTTGACCTGTATTTAGATGGAGACAATATGAACACAAAACAGTTCATGTTTTATCTGGTCAACTTAATTTCATGTGTTAGTATACATCCTTTCCTGTCATTCAGACCTGCAATCCATTCCAAAAAAAGTTGGACCAGGGGCAATTTAGGGCTAGTAATCTGTTAAATTGGTAAAATAATGATGTGATTTGAAGCAGGTAATGTCAACAGGGGATTGAGTGTAATTATGATTCGGTACAAAAGCAGCGTCCAAGAAAGGTCAAGTCCTTTAGGAGCAAAGATAGGCTGAGGATCGCCCGTTTGCCAACAATACATCAGAAAATTAATGAAATGTTTAAAGGCAATGTTTCTCAAAGAAAGATAGGAATTCATACAGGAATACAATTCTATGCAGCTATCATAAGGTAAAGGTATTTGTATTTCTCCCGTGTTTTTAATCAATGGTTTGCAATAAACATTATAGATCCGATCCTCCCTATGACCGAACCACTAGAGGACGCCCCTTGCTCTTAAACGTGAAGTTGTGCTGTGCTTTTATTTTATTTAGGCATGAAAACACTTTGAAATAAATATAAAATATCCCTTATTTTCACATGCCAGTGTTGACAGGTATGCTATAATGAAAATACAAACGTAAAACTACATTCGAATGCTACATACAAACGTTTAAGGTGCAAGTCTGCAGTTTATTTTGTACAGCAATCGTCCAGGTTTTGTGAAGTTTCACTCAAAAAAAATATTTTCAAACTACTTTTTTAAAATAAGCTGAATTAACACTATTCTTGAGATTTCATTGGAGCAACTTAATTTTTTATATTCAATCCACATAAATTTGTTAAAAGTGTTAAGTTAACTTAATCGATTTGTTCTGGGACGACATGAATGAATTGTGTGGAACCCTGCATTTTTTTTACAGTGTAGGTTTATCACAAATTGAAGATTATTTCACTCGCAAATTGAAAAAAAAATAAATAAAATAAATAAATGAATAAATAAACTGGTGTGGGACACAATTATTAAACTCTGTTGCTTGTGGTGGGTGATGCAAGTTCTGGTCTGATTCATGTCACAGTTTAATCTGCCCTCTGTAATACCAACATCAAACATAATGGTGCGTCATGGTAAAGTCTTTTTTTTTAAATGAATTAAATTTGTGAAGCAATATATGAAAACATTTCAAACATGCAATCAAGTGGTCCTCCCTGGAGAGCTGTTGGCCAGCCTGAACAGATAAATGACTAAAACAGACACACACGCATACATACGCGCAAGCACATATGCACACGCACCTTTTGTTGCATCAAATCATGCCCTACGCAGATGAATGCTGTCGGCTGTAACAATGAAATGATGAAATACATCAGACTGGAATCTGTAATACAACAACAGCCCTCGAGTAAGGTGCAGGGATACATTTTACAAGCAACAACAGGCAAAACTGTAAAATCGATGAACGTTTGTGGACTACAAAATGAGCCTCTATTGCTTAACATTTCAGGACAATTACTGCAGTCGAAATGGAGAAGCGGTCATTATTCAACACTCAAGTGCTTGAAACTCAAATTCACATCATGCTTCATTTACATTGCCTGCATCTACACTACCTGACAAAAGTCTTGTCGTCGATCCCAGAGCAACACATTATAACTTGACTTCTAGTTGATCATTTGGAAAAGTGGCAGAAGGTATATTTTTCTGGTGAATCATCTGTTGAACTGCTTCCAAATCATCTCAAATACTGGAGAAGACCTATTGCAGGCATGTCCAAACTCAGTCCTGAAGGGCCGGTGTCCTGCAAAGTTTAGTTCCAATCCCAATCAGACACACCTGGGCTATTTAATCAAGCTCTTACTAGGCTTTCTAAAAACATTCTTGCAGGTGTGTTGAAGCAAGTTGGAGCTAAAATCTGCAGTACACCAGCCCTCCAGGACCAAGCTTGGACACCCCTGACCTATTGGAACTGCCATGGACTCAAAATTCTCACAGATATCAGTTAAGTTTGGTGAAAGAAAAACCATGATTTGGGGTTACATTCAGTATAGGGGTTTGCGAGAGATCTGCAGAGTGGATGGCAACATCAACAGCCTAAGGTAACAAGACATTTGTGCTGCCCATTACATAAAAGATGTCCTGAATAATTTTTGACATCGAGGACTGGAGGAATAGGTGCTGACAGGGGCGGACTGGGACAAAAATTCAGCCCTGGCACTGTTGCCACACCAGCCCACATTACCACACCAACAAAGCCCCACCCACGGACATGCAAATTCACTATTTATTTTGATGTACAGATGGTGAAATAATATGACATTCTTGCCAGATTATGTCCGGGTAACCTTGGATTGGGTCGGCCCATTTTGAAACCAGGCGGCAGTTGCCGATTGGGCCAAATGCTTAACATTTCTAATTATTATTTTTATTATCATCATTATAATATCACATCTAGCAAGAGATAAAAGCTGTCTGCACTTAAAAACAATACATATTTAAAAAAAAAAAAAATGACCGGCCCACATTTAAAAATTGGTCCGGCCCTTCATTTGCCAGAATTGCCAGATGGCCAGTCCGCCCCTGTGTGCTGACATTTTAGCTTGACCATTACAGGACTGTCAAATTAATATATTAATTGAATTAATTAGCTGTTGAAAAATGTAATCTGTTAAAATTGTCAGTGCATTTAAAGGTCATTGAGTTGACTAATGATGAATATAATGGAGAACAATGACTTGATGTGATGCTGTTATATGCCTCTGAAAATAAAAAAAATGCTATGAAATTCTCTCAGATTTGAATATTGTCACGGTTTATCCTTTATTTAGCCTTCCTTTATTATTATTCTCTTCGTGATTTGTGTTGTGGTGGAGATTGTTTTATTAATTGCAATTTCTTTTCTTTGAGGCTGGTTCTGCCTTGCACCTGCCGCTAATTCAACTTGTCGCCTTTATAAGCGGAAGCTGAGTGTGTGTCGGGGTGGCTCTGGATTTCCAGCGCGTCTGACTGATCCTCGCGATCTTGTCTCTCTTTGGAGAGTATGACCCGTACTTGCTGAGAATCTCTCCGTATCTTGGCCTGATGAAAGTCCGAACTTCTGTGCGCGTCTTGTGCAGCCGCTGCTGAGGAGCCATGCTGGTGTTGTGCCGTTTCTTTGATCTATGTTTTTTATCAATATTTTCTTTATAATATATGTTTTTGTTTGTTAGTCAAAGCAATTGCTTTGACTTGTTTATTGTTTAATTAATGATTTATATTTCTGTTGCCACCTTAATTAATTAGGACACCTATATTCTGGTCTCTAAATAAATAGAGAATTGTATTTCTGGTTTCTGTGTCCTTTTATGTTGCTAACCCCTTCCCTAGACGAGCCTTAAAAACTGGGGTTCGTAACAATATGATAAACAGTATTTCAGCAAAATCACATGATGTTATCCTGATTTTATAAAACATTTTACCTTGCAGTACATTTTTCAATTCACAATGGAATACAATTTACATTTTTTTTTTGCAGTGTACTGAGAAAACTGACCACACTAGAAAAGTTGTCCGTATGGAGATAGATAAGTAGAATTGTGCAAATCACAAATTATAAACATTGCTACATTAAAATGTTCTGTGGTGTTTATTTGGTGTAAAAAA